ATGTGATACTTTATGTTGCTCTTTTATCTAATATTCAGAGGAAATTCATTTATGGTTATGACACAACAAAAAATGTATAAAGCATACAATCAAAGGAGTGTATAAAAAGAATGCTAACAAAGAAGCAGGTTTTCAGACTGACTCACTACAAATTACACCAACAGGAGACATAAAAGAAATCCATAAAGCTCATCATATTTTTCTGATGTAAATCTGAAACATAAAATGCGTTCATCTGAGTATGTTGCATTATGTGAGGTGCTATAAGAAAATCTCAAGGGTTCTGTTAGGTTAAGTAATTAGACTCCTCAAGACTGAGGTAGAAACAGCAGCTAGCATGAATGCACTCTTAGGTTGCCCCACAGTGGGTTCAGGAACAAAACACCCACACTCACTTCAGTACCAGCCAGTAATCACCTCTGTCTCATTTGACCCATTTAGGGTAACATTATGCTTACGCAGCTGGCATGATTTTAGCCTTCTTTACCATCCCCTGCTATTTCTACCCAAGCAAACTACCCTGATGAGAAATTCAAGGCACTGATGAAAAATCAGTCTTCTAAAAAAAAAAAAAACTTTTAGATTAGGCCGTCAGAACATTATATCCACACTCCTTGTTGCTGCTCCCCCAGTGAAGGTGCCAGAGCCTTGGTTTTCAATGCAGCAACTGCAGCAGCAGGCTGTGTCTGATCTATGTGACCCAGGAGAGGGGTCCAGAGACCTGGCGGCTTGTTGAGAATACAGATCAACCGCCTACATGTCCCGAACTCTGCCCTTTCCACTCATTACTGCACACATTCGCTTTCCAGGGAATCGTGGTGCTGCTGAACGAACCCTGCACTGAACATCCTTGTTGAGAATGTGAATGCTGTGGAAGCTTTTTCCAACTGTGTGAAAATGTAGCTGGTTGTGCATTTAAATATAACTGTTGCTGTATTGCGTTTTGATGAAGAACTAATTGTTTTGTTGACATGAATGTGTATCATCTTACAGTGCAGTCAGCTGATGAAGCATGGCTTTCTCCTGTCAAAATCAAAAATTTCATCCACAGTTCTGTATAATTCTGAAACTTCTTCACGAAAAACAAAAAACAAAAAAAAAAAACATTTTATGATCATGAATCAGTAAGAATATGATTTCTCAAGCAAAATTTAATAATTAGTAAAAATGTAATGATTAAATCTTTATGTAACTATGACCCATGCAAAGACAAGGAAGTCTGCTAAATCCAAAGTTTGAAGCAGTGGTGTCTCCTGCTGACAGACAAAGAAGCAAAGAACAAATTTGAATTATATTTTTCTTTGTACTTTTTGGCTTGTTCTAGAGGTAAAGCATTTGTCACCACTTCTGTAATTGCATTTTGGGAAATACCAAAAATAATAAGAGCAAATGGATTGATAAGTAAGTATGGAAGGATGATCTTTAAAAGGACTTTAAAGGCATTTCCCTGGCACATAGTGCCATTTTGTAGCACAATTAAGTAGCTATATTATCTCCATTTGTTATAAAAAATACTGTATATATGACACCTAACGTAAAAAACAAGCAACAAAATGGTTTCACTGTGAGACACTTTGAAATTGGGCCTCTGTCTCTTTAAGAAATTGCTGCTCTTTCTGACACTCTGGCTTCACCATGTCATCATGACAAAGCTCCTCCATGATGCCATTTACTACTGTTTGGACTGAGTAATTTATAGGATGACCTCAGCAGACTTTCAGCTCCACCAGGAGTTAAGGTGCTAATTCCTGCTGCCGCTAGTCTGAAGGGGCTGAGTTAAGGAGTCACGGGGGAGGGGAAATCTGTGTCAACGAACCTTTAAATTAAAATGTTGGAGAACCCCAGGAGAACTACAGCAATTTGTTCTGCTAAAAAGTAATTTGTGTTTTACGACACGATATGATACCATAGATTTGTTTAGCTAAAACTTTCCTCTTATTTATTAAAAAAAGACACTGTAGAACACCCATGGCACTAAAGTAACTTTTTAATTAGTGTGAACTAATTTAGTGACAGTATCCTGGCATGTCTAAACAACAGCAGAAATAAACTGCAAAAACACAGCAAACATTTTTTTTTTTTCCCTGTATTCAGACTTTTCAGCTGTGCAAACTCAAACAAAGCTCACTTCATCATAATGAAGCTCTGTCAGAGCGGATTGAAGGCCGTTGTAATGAATAATTATAGCATGGCAAAGGAAGATGGCAGAATACAAAGCAAAGAGAGAGAGAGGGAGGGGGAGCTGTCGAGTAAACAGGTGTGTGTCATGAATTACACATCTGGGCTGATGCAGCTTACTTTTTGATGAACGCATTTGAAAATGTCTGTGTGCTTATTTGGGTTTTCATTAGCATAGCTAAAGAGGTAAAAGATATAACACGGATTTTGTTTTTGGAGAGCATGAAAAGCTTTTATGTTTAGGTACTGTCGTGATGTAATCCACCTTTGGGGTATTTAGTTAATTATGCTACAAAGAGATTAATTAGAGAGGACAGATGCACTACGTGTGTGTGCTGCTTAACTAGTGCAACAGCGCCGTTGTTAACCCCACACAGAAACGCACCACAAGCGCGCACACACACACGCCGGGCTCTCGGTGCCCTTGCTCGAAGCCATGTGCCCTGCTCTGTTGGTCACAGAGGTGGGAGCAACAAGCCGTGAAGCGGGGGACTTCCAGCTCAACAGTTCCACTGGCCTCTGACATCCCCCTCTAGTCCTGATGGTAAACTAACAACTGCTGGACTCAGGGATGCTCAGGCCAGCTTAAGAAGATAATGACCTAACAGCACAGCTGGGTCCCAAGACAGGCAGAAAGTATCTTAAAAGACTGAATCACATCATGTGTGTCTTCCTTTTTTAATTGATTTTAGTCAGTATGTTCTTCTATTACTGTACAAAATAATCCTGAACACATTGCAGGTGTTTTTTGTAGTTTAACCAAATGAGATTCCTCCTGGCAGATCGTAGAAGCATGATACTTTTTTTATTCTATGGAAGCATCTAGGGAAATGTGTTTAGTCTTCAGCATCAGCTCATGCAGCATTTAGAAATCTGTCAGGTTTTTCTGCAAACGTAAAGAAAAGTTGGCTTATTTGCTACTAAGTAAGAACACATTTATAGTAGAGTTTTGTAGATTAATGCTCAAGTATAGCTTATAATCTTTGTAGTAGACAAAAATCCTGGGTAGCATAGAACAAGACTTTTCTGTAGATGTCATAAATTCAAACTTACCAAATATAAAAGAAATAAAAAAAAATAATGTCATACTTCTAAATAATGAGTAAGTGAATGTACTTGTCTTTGTTTTTAAACCAATTCTTGAAAAAAATGTGGTTTTCATCTGCTTCCCAGGTAACCTGTTCTGTGAGCAGAGTAAGTAAATCTGAAACGTTTTTAGTTGTTTTTATGAAGTGATTTGGTAAAGAATATTCATTTAACGTCACTTATCACCTCATGTTGTGACACAGACAGAGTCCCTAACCAATCCTCTTTTCAAATTGTGAGAACTTCCAGTTGTAATTTATTGTTCAGTTTCTTACATGTGTTTCTACAAACCAGACTGAACAATCAAAATCTGTCAATCTCTCCACATCTCCTCCATCTCCTCCCTGTCTTTGAGGAATCCCGTAGATATTTTGGGTGTGTTTAAGGTAATACTGTTTCTGATCCAGGTGACAGGAACACAAAGGTGCTAGCATCCCTTCGCCTCTCAGGGATTTTTACATCCGATCCTCCAGGTTGCCAACTCAGCAGTGATAGTGTATTCAGGTGGGATTTGGGGGGGAGGAGGTGAAGAAAGACGGGATGTAAGTGCTCCTGTGGGACATAAGGGTCACTTCTTTATTTCTTTGCCTGACTCTATGCTTTCTATTCTGGACATCACATGGTGTCCCTAGTAGTTAATATGTTTTACATTTATTGTTTGCTCTTCTGCTGATAACATGCATAATAAAGGTCACAGCTTGTTGATATGTAATTCAAAATGTTCAGATTTTAGAACAATTTTCTGGTATACATGACCATTTGCATTTCTATGCATATCCCCCATTGATATGTAAATTAAAGGGGAGTATTGTGTAAAATATACATTTTTGAGCTTTATGTCATGCTCTAATGTTATTTCCTCATCAAAAACATAGCTGAAGTGTACTTTTGATTATTTTATGCATGTTTGAGAAATTTTTAGGTATCCGGTGGCAGGAATTCGAGTACCTGCTCCCAAAAACCTCTTTCTTGCAGCTACAATCTTCAGATATGTTTTGCCTCACCCAGCACTCCTTTCTCACAACTCTAGCCTCAGCTCCTTCAGACTAGCGGCAGCAGCAATTAGGATACACCTTGTGGAACTGTGTGTCTGCTGAGCTCATCATAGAGATTACTTCTCAGAATTAATTCTGTATAAGGAGACTTACAGATTTTTTTCATTTGTAGCCTTTAGATCAGCCCTCCTCCTATTAAGAATTGTCCCACTTTTCAGTCTATCCACCCCATCTTCCAATACAATTTCCATCTCAGCTCAAATCACCTTCTCTCAAAGGTTTCCCAAGTTCTTTACATTCCCAGTGATGTACTGAAAATATACAGTATCACCTCTAGATTAATGGAGTTTGCCACTAATAGCTAACATGCTGTAAACATATGTTTTGCCTCAGATGAGGATCTCTGCAGTTCCTCCTTGGTTATTTGTTTTCAATGCTGACCTTACAAAGCTTGTTGGCTTTGTTGAACTGCCACGTCTCTAAGTTTAAACATGTATCATTAACCTTCAGCTTTGTCTCAGAGCTGACTGGTTTGTCTCTTGGTCTTCATGTTGTTTGTTCACCAATGTTTTTAACAAATATTTGAGACCTTCACAGACCGGTTGTATATATAATGGGATACAAATTTCACACATGACTCTAATTACTAATTATTAATTTGTTGACTTCGGCAGACTACACTGGCTTTTACTTAGGTGCATCTGTCCTGTTTAAAATTAGTCTGGGACAGATGAAACCAAGGACGTGAAAAGCAGTTTTTCAAGAGTTCAGTGTAACCACAAGAATAATCACACTATGTTATTTGCAAGAAGAACCCAGAAGGCCTGGAAGAGGAGATGATTGGTTAACTGGGCGACTTTTGGAAAATGTCACCCCAAGATGAAGTTGACAAAATCCAGTGACTGTGTTGTTTGGGGTTACATAAAGAAGACATAGCTATATATCTGACAGTCTGTGATTAGGAGATGAGATGAGGTGGTGCTGCGTGCTTGGCATGTTTCCAGTCTTATCTGTGGGGAGGAGCAGAGGGCAGTCAGGCACATGAGTGATTTTCAGGAAGGCGGGACGCTTCCTGGCAAGGATTACCCAAGGAGTCGACTGTCATATCCTGACCAAAGGAACAGCAAAAAGACTTGTAGGATCTCTGGCAAAGAAAAAAAAAAGGTTGGTATGAAACATGGGAGCCTTGCAGGAAGAAGTGGAAGAAGTGCTCCAACATGAGCTCTTGGAACACTCAGAATCTAGTATGAAGGAGACAATAAGGGATGAAATCCAGCAACAAGGACCTTTATTATTAGAAAAGTGTGGAGAAAGCAACCTGGTGATCTTCAACCAGTCCTTCATACTGCCTCCTGCTGAGCTTTTGATGTTTTGCAGGAGAAGATGAAGCAATGCCCTCTTTGCACAAAAACACACAAGATCGACAGACAACCCAGCAGATGTGGCAGTGTAGCGGAACTTCATAGAACATACAAATTTAAGGAGCTCAATCATATAAGAGCCCAATAAAATGTGTGATTGTAATGTGACAAAGTGTTGAAATATCACAAGGCATGTTTCTTTATTGCCAGGTGCATGCCTACGTTTGTTGCTCTCCATTTTTCTAAACTCTCCTTTTAAGTGAAGACAAATAGAAACTCGGCAATCCTGATTTATAAAACCTGTGGCATATCAATTCAGATTTGTTGTCAAATTGCCCATGCATATTGTCTGAATTTCATCCCCAAATTCCCACTAATAAATCTTATGATCAAGCTTAATGATGCAATGTCCACTCAGAGTATGTGTAAGTGAAGCGTGCATGCACAAATGGTCGTTTTCACAAAGAAGAGATGAGCTCTGAAAAATGAGTATACTTTCAAAAAATGCAGCCTTAATTTACTTGCAGTTTGGATCTCTCTGTAATTCCTCCAGACAAGAAAGTCACTTACTTAAAGTTTCCATGGTTGTATCTGACTTCACTCCCTCAGCTGCTTTTGGCAGCTCCAGTGTGAAATCCTCTGGGAGTAGTTTCTACAAGAGCCATCCGCTTTTTTAAGGTCGAAGCTCTTAATTATGCTGGGTGTAAATGAGAGGACTGAAGAAAGAGCTGGCTGGCCAGCCAGGGGCCCCGTGTTGGGGTGACAAAGCTTATACCAGCACATCGGCTTTCTCAGCCGTAGGCTCTGCGCAGATGAAAGGAGGACAGAGAAAAAGACAGAACATAAGGCATGTCTACTAATGTGTCAACTCGGTAAGCTGGTAGGAGGATGAATAAAGCTGCTTCATCTCTAGCAGTATGAAGAAAAAAGATGTTACTCTGAAACACATTACTAATTACAGTCTCAGTGTTTGCTGTTATATTTGTGGATCACTGATGAACTAATTTGGTGGGTTCACAAATAAGTTAACTGAAATTGGACAAAGGGTGTGTCCTGTTTGTCATCTAACTTTGT